ATTGCAGTTCCTTCTACATCACTCATCACTCCTCGTTTTCTTTATGTGAGGGAGGGGCCGTGGGTCAGCACCTTCACCTCTTACCCATTAAAATTCCAACCCTAGTTAAAATAAAATAATCTCTGACACCATGCTACATTCAGAATCTGCATGTTGCTTTAACTTTCTGACAGGATCTATTTAATAAAATCATTAATTCTCAAATGGACACTGCTGAGTCTGGCAATCTACATATCTCTAGTGTGTTCATTTACACACAAACCAGGAAAAGCATGTCAAATTATCTTTTTATAAAACTTCATCATTGTCCACTAACCCATCACAATAACAAAGAATGAAGGAATGGTAGGTAAGAAACCCTTAATCGAAGTTTTGTTATAAAATTGTTATTTCACCCTATGACTTTAAGCATTTCAGTTTAGATAGAAGAAATATGGTAGACGTATTTTAATAAATTAGAGTATAAGAATTCACTTAAAAAATACAAGGTTTTAAGGAGAACATTTCAAGTAAGAAAGGGAATTTTAATTTCACTTGAACAACAGTTAATAACTATATCAAAATCAAGAAAGTTTCACTGAATCTGAAGATTTCCAGTAACTGAGTAAACCGGGGCTAAAATTATCCGAGTACTACAGAGTGTAATTAGAAAATATCTGACATAACTAATAGCTTTAAGAATAAGAGTTCTGGGCTATTTTTTTCTAAAAATTCAAAATCTTACGCTAATCTTAAGAAAAATGTCAGACCAATCCAAACTTGGACACATTCCATAAAATACCTGGCCAATATCATTAACACTGCCATGGTCATGTGGCGGGGGGGAAGAATATTAGTAATAGTAAATAACGATGGTGCCCATCATTACAATAGAAATGCAAATCAAAATCCCAATGAGATTATCTTCTAATGTCTTTAAAAATGGCCTATATCAAAAAGATAAGAATACATGCTGGCAAGGGTGTGGGGAAAAATGTATATCTGTACATTGTTGGCTGGAATGTAAATTGGTGGGGGTGTATGGAGGCTCCTGAAAACTTTAAAAATAAAACTACTATGTGTTACCAATTTCATTTCTAGCCATCTATCCAAAGAATATGAAAACACTAACTCCAAGGATGTACACACATCTATGTCCAATGTAGCACTATTCACAATGATCAGGACATGGAAACCATCCATCCACTCATCAACAGATGATTGGGTAAGATGTAGTTTAACACAAAAATGGGAGTACTACCCAGCTAGACATAAAGTGACGAAGTCTTGCCTTTTGCAAAAACACAGATAACCTAGAGGCATAAGCAATATAGGTTAGAAATAGAAAGACTAATACCAGTCTTTCATTAACATGTGGAAGAGGAAGAAACAAAATAAATAAAACAGAAACAGAAATATTTAAACTCTGAAAACAAAATGATAGCTAGCAAAGGGGAAGGGGATAGGAAAAGGAAGGAACTGGTAAGAGCGGGGTCAACTGGATGGTGTTAAGTGGTAAATGAAGTTTTGGTGGTAGGTGTGCTATGGTATCTACATTTATCGAGGTTTGAAGCGATATTCCTGAAACTTACATAGTATAATAAACCAGTGATACCCCAATAAAAAAAGAAAACATTTTTAGTAAATAAGTACTGATCTCATTAAAAGAAAAACAAACAAACAAACAAACTAGTAAGCTGTCAAAAGTTAGAGGAGACTGGGAAAACCTCACAATTAAAATACAATCTGGTACCCTGAATTGAAAATTGGAACAGAAGAGTCTCATAAAAAATAAAAATAAAAATGAGTAAAATCTGAATAACATCTGGATTAGAGAGAAATGTACCAATAAATTTCTTAATTTTGACAAATGCACACGGTAAAATGCAAAGGCAAAATTACTGGAAATGGCAAATGGGTGAAAAGTACATGAGAACTTTGTACTGTACTATCTTTAACAAAATTCTGTAAATCTAAAACTATCTCAAAATGAAAAAGCTGATTTTAAGAAGGTAAAAACAATTTCAATCATAATTATATGTCAATAATTCAAAAATGTGTTTAAGACAAATAAATTAAAAAGAATATACTTAGACTGGAGAGTACGTGCACAACTGATTGACTGATTGACTTTTATTTATCATTAGTAATATAAATGCAGTGGGCAAAGGAGAGAGGAAGTGGAAGAAGGAATGGGTGTCAGTCAATATTTAATAATATACTCTGTGTTTATTTTTAGTGAACTTAGGAAAATTAAAGAAAAAAATCAAATGTCTGATCTTATGCATTACTTGTTTCAGAGAACATAAAAATAGTTTTAGCCCTCTCCTCAGCAATATAGTAAATGAACGAAGATTGAATACACCCAGCTGGGCACAAAATGGTAAAAAACAAAGCCCATTAAAAAAGTTTAAGGACCTTTTCCAATTCTAATTTGAAGATAAGTGTCCTATCACCTCATCTGGATAGGAAGGCATCATTTGTGGCAGAACCATACTCCAGCTAATAACAAAACATAACAAATTAAATTTTAAAACATCTGTTGAAAGACAGTAGAGGGCTGCTGCTAAAATGATGCCTTCAGAGACTGAGATTTGAGTAGGGTTAGTTCAAGAGAAGTGATATGAAAATCTGCATTTCTCCCGAGCTTTAAAGATTCTATTCTATTCAGGGGTAAAGTGCTGAGAACTCCAGCTCTGACTACATAGAATACTACTGCTGAAGGGCAGAGATTATCTAAGCTATCGGCAGTTCTACATGTGACAAAATCTATATAAAGGGTTGAGGTGACAACATTGGGGGTATACCTGTTTTTATCTCAAATTATTTGCTAAATACCAAACCAGTACAAGGCTGGAAGTAAAAAGCTAAGCTGCAAAATCTCTGAAAGAAAAAAAAAAAAACTAGTTTTCCACAGGCATACAATACCGAGGAGCCAACCCTACAATACATGTACAATCTGACTGAAAAGTGCCTGCTTCTGAACACTCAGTTCCCAACCTGGGAAACCTCTTCAAAAGTACAGGTATGAACAAATGGACCAAGATTTAGCAAAATTTGCACTAAGTTCCCTGGGAGATAGTAAACCATTTTAGATGGTGATAAGAATGAACTAATAGGGCATATTTTTGTGAAGTAGGGAAGCAAAGGGATATTTGGTTGTGGTAACCGTCAGTAGGCAAATATGAGCTAGGGTGGGAGAAAGTTCTTAAACAGAAGTATACAGTAAAAAAAGATACAAAGCAGAAAGGCAGAACGTATGAGTGAAAATGCAGGCAGGCTGACGGATGAAATTAGGGGTCATAAACTATTGGGGAGGAAAGACGAGTATCTGAGGGAAAAAAGACAAGCTAAAATAGTCCTCTAGTAGGGAGAGTGTCTGGACAACAAAAGGCAGTAAGAGGCCCTCCCTCGTGGCGCAGCGGGTTAAAGCACTGCACTGAGAATGAACTGCATGAGTTCGATTCCCGCCTGCCCCGGAGGTGACCACATAGCGCGGCAGACCTCTCCTGACCCGCCCGCTGCTCCCCTCAGCAGTGTACTTCGTCGATCTGCCTGTTCTGCTCCCCACTCTGTCTCTGGTGGAGCCTCTCCCCGCCCTGAGCCTCTGGCCTGTACCCCAGTTCTGTATGTACAAATAAATAAATCTTAAAAAAAAAAAAAAGGGCAGTAAGATATCAGGTTATACAAGGGCTTACCTTAAGCTAGTGGTCACAAGTTTATTCATGAGTAAATTCAGTTGACAAATCTTGGGGTTTTGTTATATAAAGGTTTGAAAGTAGAGAACAGGCACCAAGTTAAAGTTTTAAGTTTGAAGTTTTGTTAGTTACATAAGACAAAGAAAGCCAGGTGAACAGAGGACATATCTTTCTAATCTAATCTAATCTCTCTAATCTCTCTCTAAAGCTATATAGCTAGATATATATATATGTATATATATATATATACATATATACATATATCTAGCTATATACATACATAGACACACACACACACACACAAGCTGGTGATACAAGCATGGGCCATGGAATCTAAGTCAGAAAAAGAGGAAAGTTAGGACATGAGAAGCTCATGGCAAAGGAGAGGTGGGAAGATCAACAGAAACAGATGCCAGTGGAGTTGAAAATTGCTAGTGCCAGTTAGAAAGACAGCAGGCAGCAGGCAGGCAGGTAATAAAGTGGATGAAAAAGGAGCATAGCCTTATTATGACTGGCAGAGAAAAACTCAAGATGGAATATTCAAAGGATCATTTACCTAGATATTTAAATTGGCAGGAATTATGATAGGTTGAAGAGCTGGTGAAATAGAGCCTAGCATCTTTAAGAAATGAGGGAAGTGATCTATGTGACTGCAACAGAAGTGTGTAGTGGGTGCTACAGTTTGAGGCATGAACTTCAAAGCTGGAAGTATTTAGAAAGAAAATATATATAAATACATGTGTGTGTGTATATATATATATATACACATATATATATATATATAATGTGGCCTAAAAACACTGGTGAAGAAAAAGCCTCCAAGCCAAATGGTGTCACTGCTAAAGAAAGGAATATAATTATGACTTGAAATAACTGAATAGAACTACATTAGAGGTAGAATCCTCAAGGAGGTATTCAGGTTTCAATTAGAGCAGGAAGGTGTAAGTAAAGTTCAAAAGACAGTATGCTGATAATTTGATTCACTTATTAGTGTTTACTAAAAGGCACTGAATTAGGCACTGGAATAAAATAACAATAGAGATGCCACTTCAGCCCTCACAAAACAGTCACACAAGAAGTTTCATGTAAAAGTGAATACTTGAAAGGATAGAACTGTATTTTTACAAGAAGCTAACTGTTACTGAGAAATTAGGATATGAAGAATGTACAACAAAATAAGTGATTATTTTAATAGAGCTAACCAATCCTTATGGTACTAATGAGAGGCTAAAAAAAAATTTAAATTATGCAGAGACATTTTTTAACTGCAAAGGAAAACGAGGAAAATGGCAAGTATATGCTTTTACAGATACAGGCAGTTACCTGCGACAAAGCTGCATCCCGTTCTTCTATCACTGCATTCATTTCTTCCGCAGTTATTCTCTTTTTACATTCCATGGTCTTGTAGATTCTATCCACAATTATAGCTCCATTCTTCTGAATAGATATCTCTGTGTCTGCATTGTTTATTCTGTTCAGTAATTCCTGTAATGTCTACCAACACCATTATATGTTAGTCAGACATGAAGTTTTAATATATTTTATTTAATATAGGGTTTTAATTAATAGGCACATGTGAATTGTAAATTGACTGAGTGAAGTTATTGAATTTTCATATTGCGGCAAAGATGTACATTATTAGTGTGTCAATTCTTCTTTTTCCCACATCTTAGTTCTTGAAACCCACTCAATTGAACTTAAGCCTCTAAGATATAAGACTGACATCAAGAAATCTCCTCAGAGAATGGCTTACCATGTCATTTTCTTCAGGGTTAATATTTTCTAGCCTAGAAAAAAGGGACACAGAAAGCCTGATCAGTAGCATTTCCTTAGAGCAGCAAAATGAGTTCGCTTTTTAAATCTTTAGAACCTCAAGTAATTTCATTCGACTAGTCTTTAGAGTCAACCATGACACTGAACATATTAAAGTGCCACCTGCTCGACTCCATCTTTCAATAATGCTCCATATCTTCTGCACTGACTTCAGACTGTTAAGTTATTAATGTTTACTGCGATATATGACTACAAGGATCAATTGTTCATATGTGCTTAGATGAAGAAAGTTCCCCAGTGATAGAAGTACTCATTCTCATCATTATATTTATTCCTGGACTTTCAATTCTTATCAGAAACTGTATTTCCTCTCTATTTTGGACATCATCACAAATAAAATAAGGCAAATTTTTTTTTTATTACAAAGTTTAACTATGTTCTCTCAAAAGCAATGACAAACAATTACCATTAAATTTGACCTGAAAATCTCCTGCCACTACCTTGTTGTTAAAATAAATATACCATAAAGAAAACTGATCAAAATTGCACATTTTTTTAGAACATGATGTTATATTCTCTTTTTTATAACACGTATAAATGATTCAATTCAAAGACAAAGAAAGTAAATTCGTTTCTCTCATACGTCAATTTTGTCTAGTAAGGATATATAGCGATTAATGAAATGCTAGTTTGTTCATAAATTGAAGAAATGCAGCAAAGGTAAAGAAAATTTTAAGCAATGTAGCTTAAGAAATGTTTACTATGTAGGTAATCTTTAAATGGCAAAATTAAGTGAAAATCTATACTCATTAGAGAAATGAGTAGATTCAGATATGGTTTCACTTATTTAACAACTGTACTAAAATGGTAAAACATCCACATTCCTGTTATCTCAGGTTGGGGATTCCTTTGATTTCCATGTGCCACTGAATTTAATATTTACCACAAAAAAAGATACTAGAATAATATATGACATTTAATAAATTTGTTATGAAATTGTACCAGCCGTACAGTCTAATTAAACTGCAATATTCTTGGAAAGATTAAATTTCAGAGCATTAGATCTTCACAGAAAAAAAGAGCACATATCAAAATTTTTTTTAAAGATTTATTTATTTATGTACACCAGAGGTACTTGCAGGGTGGTGGTGAGAGGATTCACCAGAATAGAGTAGGGAGTGAAACAGGCAGACTGATAGAAATACACTGCTGAGGGGAGCAGCAGCAAGACTGGAAAGGAGAGGTCTGCTGCCCCTTTTGGGTTAGTTCCTTGCCAGTGGTTAAGTTTCACTGTTCAAAATATTTTTACACATAAACAAACAATATAACTTAAAAGGAAAGTATAGTAACTTTCACTCAGACATGCATAATCTATATTAAAGCATGTTTTATCTTTTTTTCCCAAATAAAGTTTTCAAATATACTGCCTTGCAAAATTTTACTCTATTCATCTAAAAGAACTGTAACTAATTTCTTTATTAAATTAAAAAAATACAATGGAGAAGTATAAGACAATAAAATTTTAACTCATGTGTAAAAGTATATGAAGACCACCAGTAGCATTTAACTATATCAGTATGGGTTAAACACACCTGGTAAGGAATATTTATTTTAACTTTTTTTTTTAATGAAATTGACTAAAACTGATGATGACAGCTTCTAAGAATACTCAATTTAAATTTTAAATTAAAAAAACTGATAATTAAACCTGATAGTTAAACCGACGAGTCAACATTTACACTGTTAGGTTACTAGGAAACATTGTTAAAAAAATTTAAAAAATGTAAATACCAAGTTATAAATTTCCTATTTTAGTTGAAAGAATTACGTATGTGCACGAAGAAAGTAACAGTGTAGGTAGGTTACCAAATTTATATATTCCAAATAATCAATGCAACAAAGGTGGATGGAATGTCTCTGTAATGCTCACAAGTTTTCCTCAGGTATTGCAATGTAAAGGATGATTACATCAAGGAGAGGCAGAAGAAGAATTCAAATGCTTTAAATTAACATTTGTTAAAAGGGATATTAAAATAATTATTTTTAAGTTAATTAAAATTTCCTCCTGACATCTAAAATTTCAAAAGAAAAAAGAAATCATCATATTGAGATTATTCTAAGTATCTGGTATATAAATTTAGCATTTCAATATAAGTAATTGATGTGATTGAGCTTCAAATTACATATATAGTGATGTATTGTTTTGCTGGTAAATGAATTTAAATCATGATTTGGTATTTGGTGAGTATGTCAGGTCTTACTTACAGGTTATGAATGAGAGAAGTCAACCATGTAGCATTTGGATCTCAATTTTACTTTATTACCCTTTTCAACTGATGCAAATATAGTAATAACTGGTCACTGAGAGAAAAATAAAACTAATAAAAATGAACAAATGGTTAACATAAGACTTGAAAATTTACATAGGAACAAATTTACTTTTTACACAAACATGAAACTAGCAAAAGACAAAGCTTTTGTATTTCTTGAAAAGTCTCAGGATGCATTTGCCACACAGATATCAGTGATTAACTACAACATAATTTAGCCTCAACTACATTATATAGAGATGAACAAACTTTTTCTGTGAAGAATCCAATAGCAAGAGTTAAAGGCTTTGTCATATATTCTCTGTCATAAACACTAAACTTTACTTCTGTAGTACAAATATATCCATAGACAATAGGAAATGAACAGGTATGCCTATGTTGCAATAAAACTAAACTTACAAAAAAAAAAAAAAAACAGGTGAAAGGTTGCATCAAATATATTTTGCTTACCCCAGATACAGAGTATTTAAAAATGAAATAAAATCTCTGATGTTAGTATACTGTAAGTGCCATTCAACATATATACTTGGCACATTTTTTAGAATTAGATCTTTTGATATCTAGTTAAAGATTATTAATTAAAAAGTGGTTTTCAGAAAATTAAATTCAGTTATATAGTAAGTTCACTTTGTCATTTAAAACATAAAAATTAAAACAATCTACAGTTAGAAAAAGGAGAACATACTGCATAATTTTTATTGAAGTAACATTGGTTACAATTCAATAAATGATTCAGAAATACAGGTTCAAGCCTCTTCAGATATATGTTACCACCCAACATGTACCACCACAGCAGCCTTCAACTTCTACCTAGGTCCTCTTCCCTACCATGCCCTCCAGCTTCTTCCAACCCCTTTGGCACCCTCAGATTTCTAGAATATGGCTTTGTTTTGTTCTGTCTGAGTCTTTGTTGTGTGGCTCTATAGTCAAATAGGAGCAGAAGATTCCAACTGCAACACAAGCAATCAATTTTTTATATAAAATGAATTTTTAGGCTTAAGATTTACTAGCAACATGTACAATAGATGGGACTTTACTAGTTAATGAAGGTGTTATGTGAAATATAACTGACAAACTCTAAATTACATATCAATAATAGTAAGTTTACAATGAAACAGACAAGTCTCCACCGTTTGTAAACTAAATTATGCCTATCATAGTCTAGCTAAACGTCGTCATGATAATTAGTAAGAATTTTGCTGAAGTAAATGTCCATGGGCTCCAGTTTCAATTGATTTCCTATACCATGCAAATTGCTGGCTGACAACTCTGCACTTTGTGAAAAGGCCTATGCAGGAAATGTCACATTTCTTGATTTATCCCTAAACCAGTCAATACCAGCTCTTTCCTTTCTGCACTTCTAGTCATTCATCTTGATCAACAGGAAGAAGCTAAAAACTTTGACCTCAAACAATAAAAAGAACTGTCACCAAAAAGAACTGTGACCAGAGACTTATGAGTAGCTTATTTTTATTCTCTGATGCATTTTTACATAGTGCTATTATTCTAAAGATGTTTTTAAAAGTACATCAACAATAACAAAGAGACTGGAAAGGTATTCTAACATCAAAAGTTGGGAGAGATATATAAGTGCAAATGTGTATATTAGTACATATAAGTAAGCCATTTTAACTTGAATCATTTTTCTTTTTTTTCCCCAAGCTTTAACACTTAAAAAAAAAAAGTATTAAAGATTCAAGATGTCAGAGAAAACAGAAGTGGCAGAATAATAAGACAAAACAGACATTATAACAGAAAGATACAAATTAGATCAGAAGGAGAAAAGAAGATTAAAAAAAAGACCAAAGAAATGTGAATATTATTGGAAGCAATAGTGAATTAAAACAAAAAGGGATGTAAAATCACATAAAAATTTTCCTATACTCAACTCCTCCACATATGTCTTTCAGTCATGCAAAGTTCAGTTATAAATTGGCTCTATCTTAACAAGGATTTACTCTAAAATGCATACTGAAAATTCAGAATATACAGACTTCAGTTGAGTAGAAGGGAACCTCCACAGTGCCACTGAAATTGTGCTGAGTATTCTTTTCTGTAGTTATTCTTGTTTCAATGTATGATTTTTCCACTTGTACCCCAGGCTAACATACAGTACAAAATGACTATAAACTGCCATTTATAGTCATTATAATCGACTTCTTTTCAAAGTCTTTTTTTTTTCCCCCTACTCTGCATTCTATCCAAGGATCCTCTGACTACCTGATTATTCATTTCTAGTATTTGGCAATTTTGAATAAAGTTGCCATAAGCATTTACATACAGGATTTGTGCAGATGTATGTATTAATAATTAATGTAATTATTAATTACATTAATAACTAATGTAATTATTTACTATCTTAATTAAATTGGGACCATAATGCAGTACTGTGAGCAAATAGCACTGTAACTGATGGATAGTATAAATTCAATATAAATTGAATGGATTAATTAAGTAAAAGATTTGAGATTAAGTAATTTTGTTTAGATTCCTTCCTTAAAAACAAGTGTTACAAAGAATAAAAAGAAAAAAGACTGCTACAAGAAACCCTAGTCTTAATATATTGCATTTGTTTTTAACACTTGAAGATTTTATTTGTTTCATTATGATAACTGAGATAAAACATTGTGCAAATTCAAGGTTTAGAGCATGTTCACAAGATAACATATATTACAAAATTATTACAACAGTAATAATTAACATCCCCATCACCTCACATAAAACCATCTCTCTTTTCCCTTTTTTAAAAACTGTATTACTTTTATGATAAGGCAATGCTGGTTTAAACACATTATATGATTTTGAGTACAGCTTTTACTCTGTGAACTGTGAGCTAACTGAGTTAAGCTACCGTACTATGCCCAATTTACAACCATGAATTAGAAAGACAGAATGACCAAAAATAAGAGGTCCATTTAATAAGGATCCCAAAGAAAAAGTTTTGATTTGGATATACGCACAGATGTTTATGCTACTGACCAGAGTAAGAGTTGAAGGAGGATTAGATTTTAGGAATGAGTTAATACATTCCATTCTGGAGGTGCTAAATTTGAGTTGCTGTGTAAAGTTGAAGTAGGCAAGTTGTACAGTGCAGAATTGACTGAGTTTGACTCTTTGGGGAAGCAGTGAAGATTTTTCCTCACTAATGCACAAATATCACCTACTTCATTAAGTTGGGACATCACATAAAAACCTATATTGGTATATTGTGTGGTCAATTTGATTTTTGAAAAAATAGGAAAATCTATTTAGAAGCAAATTTCATGAATAAACTTGGTTATCAAATTACATAGTATTGGATGATAGCTGATACTACTGTATTATATTGAATATAGTAGTACTTACAAATCCCCCCCAAAAGTTCTGAAGTTATAATAGTTACATTACTGAAATTAAGACAAAAATAAGTTACTATTTTGAAAATTATGTTTAAAAACATTTGGCTCACGCAAGTATTTTTATAGTTACAAACTGACTCTAAAAAGTATATGTACAAGAAAAGGTATAATAATAGCCAAAACAATTCTACAACAAAGAACAAAGCTAGAGGGGCTAATATTATTTAGTATCAAGACTTACTATAAAGATTCAGTAATCAAAAATCTGTACAGACACTTTACAAAGAAGATATATAGATGGTAAAAACACATATAAGACATACAATAGAGAATGACTGACATCCAAGGGAATAAAACGAAAAATGACAGTCCTAAATACTGGTAAGGATGCAACAGGAATTCAGATTCATTGTTGGTGTGAATGTAAAATGTTGCAGCCATCTTCAAAGAGCCTTTGGCAGTTTCTTTGAAAGTAACAACATCGATTTAACATATGTCCCAGCAATTATGCTACTAGGTTTAGCCAACTGATTGAATACATGGAATACATACATCTACACAAAACCTGTATATAAATACTTATGGCAACTTTATTCAAAATTGCCAAATACTAGAAACGAAAAATCAGGTAGTCAGAGGATCCTTGGATAGAATGCAGAGTGGGGAAAAAAAAAAAAAAGACTTTGAAAAGAACCTGCAGAAAGCATAACTCTGTTTAAGGAGGCAGGAACAACAGTCAATTTAAGCAACTCTGGAAAACAGTATTTTTATTGGAAACTTTAAGAAAAAAGGTCAAATTAGTAAACTAGTGATGCTGAAAGAGTAATAATGTATACTAGGGTAGAATAAAGTAAATGTACAGTAGAGATGGGAGCCAAGTTCCTTACTGTTAGAGATGGAAGTAAGTGAACTAGTAGTAGTTAAAAATCAGAGAAACACTCTGAGTGTTTTCAGTCTAATAAAGATGCAGATAGGCAGACACTTGCAGATATGTATGTACATGTCAGTTAGTATGCAAATGTATTTCCTAGCTCTCTCTGCTGACTGGAACTAAAAATAGTTACACTAAGCAATACCCAGCACACCTGGCATCCAGAGCTTGGTTTCTAGTGTGACTTTCCAATAAAAGGAAGCAGGATTGTTTTGAGGAATCACTGACCCTATGGGTGAGGTGCAACTGTTTTAAAACATTACCTGGCACATCTTCTAGTACTAGAAAGTAAGAAAGTGTTAAAAATCAAAAGGGAGTTAGAGAAAAATCAGTGAAGTCTGAATAAAGCTTAGAGGTCACAGAAACACAGCAATGTTGCTCTCTCCCCTGCAGCATGTGTGCCACAGTAATATAAAATATCAGTAAGAAAAACCAGTGAGGGCTAAATAAGAGTATTTGTGCTATAATGGCAAATTTTCTGTAAATCTAAAATTAATCTAAAATCAAAATTTTATTTGAAAATGAGGGAGCTCAAGTAAAAATGGTGGAGTGAAATCTGAACACAGAAATCTGTATGCCTACTATAAAATCAAATTAATATAAGATAAAAATTAATCAAAAAACAAAGGAAATGGGTGTTTTTTCCAAAGCAGGATACAGGGTAAAAAGATGATTTTTGGCCAATTTCACCTATTTCCTTTTAAACATTAAGATAGGTATTGAAAATATAAAAAAAAGTTCACCAAATCAGAATTTTTCACTAATTCACAGTTTGAGGATAACTTAGGAGAATAATAAATGGAGTATAGAGGCTAGAACAAAGTAAAGGAAATCTTTACTCAAAAGAAGCTTGCACTGCTGAAGAGTCTTTATAGAGAAGTAAGAATTTTCAGGACTGGGAGTAGACTTCTGCTAGACAAGTAGAGGAAATAAGAAATAAATAATACTTCAGAAGCAAGATATATATAAGACTAGATAGAGTGAGCCCTTGGTGCTAAAACCCAAGTAAGAAGAGGACAGACTGTATCAGAAAGGACAGACAGTCCTGGGAAGTCTTCAGACCTCTAGTCATCTCTTATTGTCCTAGGAAGGAGGCCAAAAAGCAATATGTAGTTAGGAAACAGGAGTTCAAAGAATGCAAATATATTTTTCAAATATTAAGAAGTATTTATCCAGGAAAATCCACTTCCACTAAATAAGAACAAAGAAGACAATTTAAGCATGACAAAGATGAAGAGAAATGACATATCCTTAGGAATACCAAACAAATAATAAAATATTTTATAAAAGACAAAAAATTATAATATGAAGTATGACAAAAACCAAGGAGAATAAAATTTTCCTATCAGGATACTAGGTGAAGCAAATAACTTAAGAACATAATTTCAACATATTAAAGTTAAAAAAAGATGTGTAAACAAAAGCATAAATGAAAAGAGAAACAGAAAAGTTAAGGAAAAAAGATGTGAACTCTAAACATAAATCAAATTTCCTAAATAAACTAGAAAGAACAGATAAGGAAACAGGGACAAATGTTATTACTGAAATAAAGAAAAGGCTTGAAAATGTTAACAGCAAACACAGAGGAAAAGACGGATTAAACTACTGAACAGGCAGTAGATAAGGACGAGTGTCAGAACACATGAATAACTAGTTTCTGGGGGGGAAAAAAAACTAATATTAACGAAAAAAATTCACTAATCTAAAATTACCTGAAATAAAAGAATGAAATAGCTGTTAGAAAGGCAAGGTGAGTTTCTGAAAGTGCTATCATAGAAAACTCAAAATATCCTGATTAAGTTTTACATCAAGAATATAAAGAAAGAGTCCTTCAGGTATCCAGTCAGAAAATCCACTTGTAAGTTAGGGGTAAAAAAATCCACTTGTAAGTTAGGGGTAAAAAAACCTTCTTACCATGTTTAGAGTGAAAAAATGCTTAATCCAATAATTTTATTCATAACCAATTTGAATATAAAGATAACACACAGCCAGTGTGGAGCATGTTAATCAGAGAATAAAGTATTTATGAGCCCTTCCTCAAAAAGTGTTTGAAAATGAAATTCAGTTACCCAGGGATTCCCACACAAACTCAGGTATAAATGGTAAAATTTCCAGTAATTATCATTCAGTCCTTTAAAAACTATCTTTTCTTTAATTGCAGTACCGTTGAGTTACAACATTACCTCAGGGTCATGTTACCGGAAAGCTACATGTACAGGCACAAGTACTACATTATACTATTATAGCCATCACTAGGACTCCCAGGCACAGTGGCAGAGGGAAGGGGAAGTCACTGAGTCTAGATGATCTAACACAAATTTTATGAATATTCTTAAAGTAGCATTTATAAAGCAAATGAAAAATGGCTTAAAACCGCTTTTGTATTTCACAGCTCAATGCCAAGTAATAACACTTAACAGGCACACTGCATTAAAATATATAATGATTCCAACACTTTAATGTTTTACACAGTGTTTTTTCTTAAATTTAAAAGGATCGTTAGAGATTTAATATTATCTTATTCAGAGAAAACCTGTAAGAAATTCAAAATTTTCTTCAGTTTCACTTCACTTGATTATTACTTAATTTCAAGTACCACATAAAAAGCACTTGCTCTAAGTTAAATAGTTTCTGATATTCTATCCAATCATAGAGCAACACATATAAAGCAGGCACTGTTTAACCATTTAGTAAACAAACAACTGAGGACCAGACTTACTGAACAAAATTTTTCATTTTAATAAGAATCCCCGAGCAATTGAAATATATGTTAAAACTGGAAAAGGGCTTATTTCAGAGAAGTTTTTCAACATGTCTTATTCACCAATTTCAGAATTATCTTGGCTGCATATTAAAAATGTAGATTCTTAGGCTCCACCCTGTTTCACACTAAAGTTTAGGTGTCACTAAAGAACTTCAACTTAAAAAAAAAAAAAAAGCAAAAAGTAGTGTCTAGGAATGAACACATTAAACAGAGAGCAATAAAAGAACCCAAACAGCATAAAAGATCAAGAGGAAAGAAGAATAGACTCACCTTCAAAGGAAGGTGAAGTAAGCAGACATTGAATTATGAAGCAGTAAGAAAAAGAACTGGACCGAGGAGGTTAAGCATTTTTTCCCTTCCTTTTCCTATTTTAGTACATGTTAGCCCTGACATGCAAACTATCAACATGTTTCAAAAGTTTTAGAAAAGACTGTAGGACTATGTAATTTACCAATGTCAGATACAAAAATTAACATTTTTTTAAATTATGTAATCATCACATAAATGCATGCACTTTATAAATATTCCCAATGCCAGGTATAGTTTTAAATGTGTACATACGCTTTTAGAGACATTTCCATATGCTTGGCTTGTGCAATTGCTTCATCTCTCTCTTTATTGGCTAACTGCAATCGAGACATAACAGCTTCATCACGTTCCCTCTGGGCAAAATACACTTCTTCAACCAGAGCTACAAAAACACATAATCTGCTATTAATTAAAGAAAATAAAGAAATGCATACTTTTAGCAAAAATAATTTTACTACTTTATTCACTGAATTAGTATCAATTGCTAGAGAGAACATATTTGAAAGCTGTTGCAAAACTGAGATACTATTATTTCACAGCCATAAAAAAGCAAAAAATCAAAAGATCAAATAATAGCAGATCATGAGTTTGTGAAATAAAGGAAACTCACTATAGGTGTACATATTTCTATAACCATCTGCCAAGTGACTAGCAAATGTTTACTACAATTAAAGATATACCTGGCTGATAACTTAGAAAATGTCCTATTTAATATGCAGTCAAAAGATATTCTGACATATATACACCCAGAAACATGTAAACAAATACTTACTGCAGCATTATATAATAGAAATATGTAGCAATAACCCAAATGTCCAGCAACAGGAACAGAATAAATGCATGACTATATATTTAAGATGAAATACAGTTCAGCATCTACAATGAACTAGAAACAAATGGATAAATCTCAAACATGAAGATTTGGAAAAGAACAGTAAATTGCAAAGTAAGAAAAAAATTTACCTATTAATCATGGATAGAAAAATTAGCAAAGATACTAAGATGAGTATGGGGATGATAAAAATCAAATTCAGTATATTAGTTACCTCGTGGGCTAGGAGAGAGAAACAGGCAGGGCTAAGCTGGTTTAGCACTGTCATCTTCAAGGACATGACTTATGTAGGTTATAATACAAATGGCATGATCTACATTTGTGTAGTGCCAAAAAGGGAACTTGGATGTTAAAGTGAAATTGTCATTGTTTGAACATCATTTTTATATGAAATCTTACACAACTGTGAAAATACCACAGTGCTGTTAGACAAAAAGAGGCACAAATATCTGAATAACTGAACCAAGCTTTAAATATACCATCAAGTCACAAAATAAATTTAGGAAGATGCTTGAAATGCTATTTTAGCTTACAAAACATTGGTACCACTTAAGATTTGTCATATATTCATAAAGTTAATCGAGACAACTATTTTTGTATTACTTAAATTATAAGTGGTGGCAAAGAAACAAACCCTGAAAATAAATCAATTATGGAGAATAAAATAGCAATAGTAAAGCAAAAGCCAAAACCACTTCCAAGAAGCTGAAACTAAGTGGAGAAAGATTCAATATATTCATTTATCAAATATTCACTAGGTTTCTATGACAGACTCATCCATCCAGTTGTTGGGACTTCAAACAGCATTCTGGAGTATCCATTCTGTAACAGGGAGCTAAGTAGAGAAACGCAGGCCAAAAATTATGTAGGCAAACACACAGACAGATATAAATAATAGGTAATAGCAAACAAAGACTTTGAAGAAAAATAAGACTGTGAGAGAGAAAAGAGTGACTTGGCATCTGGGAAACAGCACAGACTACTTTAGGAAAAGTGGTCAGAAAAGATCTTTTTAAATCAATTATATTTAGAACACTCAAAGGAGGAGACATTTCTACCTTAAATTATGTATTTGGAAATAGAAAAATAGTGCACAAGCCTTTCAAGTATCACAGGAACAACAGGAAGACAAAGGTGGCCAGAGCCCAGTGAGAGAGGTGACAATCTGTAAAGATCACACTGGACCTTTGTAAGTCACAGTCAGGACTTTAGGTATCAGCTGAACATGGTGGTAGCATGTCAGGGTTTTGAGCAAGGAAATATTATCACATTTATGTTTAAAAATGAATTCTGGACTCTGGGTGAAAAATAGTCCATGGCAGGGAGCAAGCGTGGAAGCAGAGACCAGTTAGGAGATTATGGTAGTAGGCTAAGCAAGATTTCACAATAATCCACTTAAATGACCCATGCCCTGAAGCTGAGAAATAAACATATGTGCTATCCTAGACTTTTTATGTTATATTTGCACAACATGGATAGAACTAGAGGGGATTATGTTAAGTGAAATAAGTTGAAGGACAAAGACAAATACAAATACTGGATGATTTCATTCATGTGGAATATAAAGAAAGAAAACAAAGGAACAGAAAAAAAGGAAATTGAAAAGAACCCTAAAATTCTAACTGCAGAACTGAGGCCACCAGAGGGGAAGGGAACAGAAAGAAGAAAGGGAGCCCAGTGGAATATGGTAGAGAATTATGGTTGTGGTGGAGAGTGTGGGGTGATATCACACCTTGCTTTAAATGTGCTTCTGTTTAAAGTCACCTTATTAAATATACATTATTACTTATTAACATTATTGAGTTCATGGTCAACAGCAATACAATTCCTGGAACTCTCATACATTGCTGAATTTAGGATCATACAAATGCAGTCTGTCAGCTGCTTAAAAATTTAAACATAACCTGATCCTAAGATTATTCCACTAACAGATATTTATCCAAGAGAAATTAAAGCATACAAATTTACACAAGTTTTCATAGCATCTTCATTTATAATAGTCAAAAACTAGAGACAACCCAAAAGTTTGAAAAGGATACATTATATAACAAATAGTGCTGTAATGACCAGATAGCCACAAACATAAAATCTAATGCTTTTAATCAACAGTTCAGGTAAGGTTAAGAATTTTTTCTTTTTTTAAAAGATTTATTTATTTATGCATACGAGGACTGTGGTACAGGTCAGAGGTGCAGGAGTGGGAGGATTCACCAGAGACAGAGAGGGGAACAGAACAGACAGGCTGACTGAAATATACTGCTGAGGGGAGCAGCAGGCAGGACAGGAGAGGTCTGCTGCTGTAGGTTAGCTACCTAAACATAGGTTTTAGAAGAAACAGTACATTTTTGCACACTTTTCATAGCTTTTTTTTTTTAAAGGTAATATCTTCACTGCCATGTGGCAATATTATGCTTCTACCATGTGTCAATTCATCACACTGTTTTGAAACAAACTTGTACCTATATGTGATAATGATATAAAATTTTCCCCTTCTGAATGCATACAAATTTCCTTCAATAAGGATACTCATAAAAGCTCAGCAAAAGCAACATGGTTTATTAGGAGGAAGATGGACTTTGATTCAAATCCAGAGTTGTTATACCAAAGTTAGGCAATTTCATTTATCCATTTCTTGAATTTTTTCAGCCACAGTTCAGTTATATAAAATAGATCTAATACTATCATCTGTGACTCTTAGGGAAAATTAGATAATAAACGAGAACAGTTTATGCTATCATAATCACCATCACACTCAATTCACAGATTAACAATTTGTTTTCTTTCCTACATATGTTAGAAATGTGATTTGGATTAATGTATCATACATTATTTGAAAATAATACTCAAAAGTCCTCATTTTCATTTACAATTTCTGAATTGAGGTAACACTGGTTTACAACAATGTATATAGTTTAGAGATACAGGTTCACGCTTCTTTAGATGTCTGTATATCACACCTACCACCAAGTCACCACAATCCTCCACCATGGTCATCCACTGTCCCCTCTTTTCAACCCTTTTTGTTGAAGGAAATTTTATTAAGAATCCATTCTATATTACACTGAATATCCTATATTATATTAAATAGCATAGGAATATAATGTTCAATTTTTAATTTTAATTTTACAATATAAAATATTGTTATTTTATTTGATATTTTATATATCAAATTTGTGGGTAAGAGTGAATGGACAAAATAATGCTAAATAATGACAACTACAGGATAACATCTTCTGGCATTAATTATTAAATTCCGAATACCAGTGTATTTTCTACTATTTCTGTCACATAAAATGTGACAAGATTTTTAAAAGGTGATATTAATGTAAACTGCATTCTACTTTATATACAGTAACAGGTATTATAAGAAGTAAGGTTAGCAATATCAAAAGTTTTAACAATAAGCCCATTTAGATCTATACTTAAGTGTAAATGTTTTGCATGAGGGCTTCTTCTGTGTGATCAAAAGAAAAAAATTTTCCTCCTATAATGCTTCAATTCTAAACATGTAACTAATGTGTATATTGATAGGGGATTGGCTTTTGAGTATTCTAAGGTTAAATTTCAAAATGCTGTTAAGATACAAACACATAAAATCTGATTATGAACTCGAAGGAAAGTTTTCTAAAATTAAAGTCCTAATGAATGAAAAACTGGAACACATTAATATGTTACATGTGAAACTTGGTGTATGAAAAAACCTAGTTCCTACTAGAACTCAGTCCTTTTAAAGGATCAATATGCAACTCTCAAACATTTTTAGTAAAGAAAACTTAATTGTAAACACTGAGCTTTTCCAAGGTAGATAACTATTACAAAGTTCACTAGAAAATCAATATAGCATTTTAGTTGGAATTTGCTCATTAAACACCCACAGCTCTAATGCAAATTATGATGGAATGAATAAAGCAAATACGCATGCTTCTTTCTTTTTATTAAATGTAAAATCTACTGTTAATTGCATCTCGTATGTCATACAAACTTTTCTCCTTAACTATTAAATAGAAGCTTTAACAAAAGTCATTAGAGATTCTCTTTCTTTGACTTGAATAAATTTCAATATTTGTTCAGTAAAGGTTCACAGCAGTTAAATTACATTAACAAATATTATTAGCTACTATGTAAGCCAACCAAGTAAAATACTTATATTGTAGGTAAAACAAATCATTGGGTGTTTACAATAATATTTGGATATCTCCATTTTTAAACATGGTTATCAAACATCCTATAATTCTTAGTCAAATGAGAAAGATTCAGAGAGGATCATCCCCACCCCCAACCCCACCCCCACCAAATACTCAAATTTGTTTAGTAAGCTAATTGTTTTCTAATATGGAGAAGAGTAAATATGAAGAAGCTGAACCATCTAAGAACGAGTTTATTGAGTCAAGACAGAGTACATATTTTCTTAATAGAACCCAGTCTATTGACAAACCCATATTCTACACTTTTCAAACTACTTTTAAAATACAGGAGATGTGAGACAGTATATTGCAAAACATTCTAGTTTAAACACTGGATCATGAGACTCTAAATAACATAATTTGGAG